TATCTCCACGACTCTCTGAGGCCTTCCTTGTGTTCTGGCACAAAACATTCTAGGCTCATCTTGTACATTCCTTGTCCTAGCCCTGAAATTAGTCACTTCTCCATGGAGCACTGGTTCCTTTTACTGAAAAATGGTTTTTAGAAGCAAAGATGTGTACGCTAAATGTACTCACTCCTATTGGGCATTGCTGCTCCGAGGCCGTCTCAGTGGTAGAGCTAGGAACATATGTATGTGTATATATGTATGCATATAACCAATCTCCCATCGCGCCTGCTGTCTTCTTTCTCCACATGTATGCCCTTACCATGCCACTTGGGCTGGATAAGCATAAAATAGGATGTTTAGCCAAAGTTAAGGAATTATTATGCTAATATGAAATGCTTCCATATCTGCCTTCACTTACCTTCCCTTACATTCCTTACGATTTACACAACCTGATACCCCAAGCTGGCAAAGAACTCAAGGTTATCCCTCGACAGTACTCAGTATAAGGCACCAAAATTTATAGACTTCCTAAAACGAGAAGAAAAGCCTAATTAAGTTCATCAAGGTTGCCTGGCATTCTTCAGCAAAGGAAAACCTTAAACCTGACTTCCTAAGGACATTTCATTTCAGTGCTGACTAAAACCACCCCCAGAACTCCAGTGACATACCTTCGAGAGGTTATTTGGTACTGGAGCCTTAAATCAAGCACTCATGAACTGTTACACGTAATCTAGTTCCTCTTACCCACTAGTAATCTACATTCAAGGCTTTACAAAGTGGTATTTTTTTTTTTCTTTGACTCCTATTTCCATGGCTTTCATCCTTGTTAGCATACCTGGGGGAAAACAGATCACGTATGTAAGCGTTCTTCCAAAGCACATTTCTTATAAAACTCTTCCTTAAACTCTAAAGCATCCTGCTGGCAATAAAGCTGTAAAAATAAAGATTTAACACCTACTGACACATTATCAAGGGTGCATGCATGGAGAGGCGGTTTTCTAATGGTGGTGGTGGTGGATTTTGGACCTCTCTCACCTGGTTTCATTTGGAAAGCGGTCTGCTGACAGCGAGATATCTAAGCACAGCACACAAAGTCTCTAAAATTTAAATACAGATCACAACACACCCAGTTACTCAAACAGTAATTATAAAGAAATGCATTCCACTGCTATCACTTGGAAAGACTGCTGCATAATGGTTCTACCATATAAATATCTAATTGCGATATGAGAAGCAGGGTTGCTTAAGTTATAAAGGCAACAGGTAGCAAAGATGGAAGCCAGCTTATTTGATCCAAAACATTCCATTAACCAGTTAAAGAGCAACTGTAACAGGCTTAAGTGCTTACTACTTACACCCACAGATGACCTTTGAAGAGCCATTCCCTGCTTCTCATATTTCTTATATTAAAGACCACAATCCAACCCTACAGGCCCAATTTTAAATCAGTCTCTGACTCACAATGGCTTAGAGGTCAGTCCTCTGCCGTAAGCTCCTCACCCCCACACCCCATTCAGGAATCTCAGAAAATCTCTGAGAGAAAATTATACAAGTCCTCCTACTCAGTATGTCGAAAAGATCTCTGGACCTGGAAACGCTAAGCTGGGTTCCAGCCCCGGTCTGCCATTCACTACCTAAAATGTCTTGGAGCTGTGAGTAAGCCAGTTGACTTCTCCAGCCTGTGTCTTCATGCATAAGACATGAGGAAAGACCAGATACTGTGAAAGGTCTCTTCCTGTTCTGAAGTTACATAATTATGATTTCCAGCGAGGCTCACTATTTCAAGAAAAAACTAATTTCATTTTTACACAGCTCTTACTGTTAGAAAGGACTTTCTAAATTTCCAAATATACACATTCTTCAACCCTTAAATTCCACTTCTTGAAATCTACCTAGAAAAATATGACCGCATGTACACAGAAGAAAGTCTATTAGCATTGTTTGCAGCAATAATTAATTAGAAACATACACTACTAAAGAAATAAATACATGTGGTATAACACTATGGGATACTATGCAGCAGTTAAAAAGAATGAAGGAAACCACATACTCACTAATGTGAAAAGATTTCCAAACCATACGATAAACAAACAAAAAAAATTGCAGAACATGTACATTTGGACAACGTTTATGAAAAAAAAACTACGAAGGCTGACACAGGACTCTCTAAAATGATGGAAATATTTTAGATCTGCACAGTCCGGTACAATCACTGCCAGTCACCCATGACTATTGATGTAGCAATGGTGACTGAGAAATTTCATTTTAACTACTTTAAATTTAAATAGCCCCATGTGGCTAGTGGCTATTGTACTTGACAGGTCTAGAAGAACAATCTAAACCGGTGATAGTGGTTAGTTACCTCTGGAGAGGAAACCAGAAGGAAGAGTGGGGGTGAGCCAAGGCAAAGTTTTGCTTTACCTGTGTTATTTCAATGTTTTGAAGCAGGTAATGCTTTTTATTTATATAAAATAAAATTTAAAAAGAAAGGGCCTTGTTAATACTGAGTCAAAAATCCGCCTAGGAAGCACCACAGGAAGCATTCAGTTTTTCTCTTTTGCTTTTGCCATACCTGAAAACAACTGGGCAAGTAGGAGAACTTTCGCTAATAACAACCTTTTAATTACACTTCCTCACATTTCTCTCCCCTCTCTGCATCCCCTTTTTTACAACTACAGTAACTTCTGGTACAAAAGGCTCAGAAATACAATTATAAAGGCTACTGACCCGTTATCAAGGGAGCAGGCATACTTTTTAAGAATGTTTTCCAAAAATCTCTATGCAACAACCCTTCCTATACTAGGAGGGAGGCAGGGAGGGAGGGAGGGGTGAGCTCCCTAAGTCTTCTCTAAGCCAGAAAAAGAGCCAGAACGCTCTTGACATCACATGGCTCTGTTGTAGCTGAGAACAAAAACAACTCAAGTCAGGATATAAACATTTCTCAGACGCTCCTCTTAGTGGTATGACATATTCACCCAGAGTCTCAGCCCAGACTTCTAAACATCTGGTCATTCATTTGTTCATAAATATTTACTCGGTGCTACTAAATGCCAGGCACTGAGCTTAGGGGAGGGGCTACAGCAATTAACAAGATCTATGTCCACGGAGACTGCCCCCAAAATCCTTATCCCTGAAAGTGATACTGGGTTGGTAGACACTGAAAAACCTTGATTTCAATTCATTCCAGAAAGTCCAACTCACTTGTTGCTGAATACAACTAGGAACATGAAACCCACATAGCAAATCTTTATTCAAGTTTCTAATACAAAGAAAAACGCTACATAACATGTCCAAATTCTCTCACACAACAGGGCAAATCTAATAAGTAATTCCCAAATGTCCCTTAGACCAAGTTTTCAATAGTCCACAGCAAAAATGTGAAAAAGAACAATGGAGTATATAGAATAAGTTTGCTTATAGGGATTCTCTTTATTACGACATCATGTCCTTTTTTTCTTTCTTTCCTTCCTTTTTTTTTTTGGTATTAAAATGTTCTCTACCTCATGAAATAACAGGTTTTGGTACAAAGCAAGAAATACCTATTTTTTTATTTGGTTTGTCTTTAAACAGTCTTACTTGCCAAATAACAAGACAGCAATCAATCCTCTATACCAAATATTTGTTGATATTTTATTTGTCCATGTTACCCGCCAATTTAAAGGACTCAAGAAAGTTCCCTCTGCTCTAAAATGCTCCTGAACACACAAAGGAGACAACTACTCCTCCAACAAATATACTTCCATAAATTCAGTCATTACATTTTGACACCAGGAAAAAGTTAAGCTTACCCACTCTTGCTGTATAATTTTTAAGAACATTAATATCACAATTGTGTAAACATAAAAATATGGGATTATAAATGCGCAGAAAGTCTAATCAAACAAAATATATTGATGACAGTAACAACTGTAATTGATGACAGTTACTTCAGTAACAATAAAAGTAGCAAACTTTTTATCTAAGTTGTTTGTGGCTAGTCATAAATATCATCCACACTGAAAAAGGAAGTTTACATTTATTGAGCTTCAAAAAAGGGGGCAGGGGGAGAGAAAATGAGGGGAAAAATAACCCGTTAATAATAATAAAAACTCTATCACATACTTAAATTTACCAAGAGCAATGACAAAGTTGCAAATTTTACTTAATACTTGAAAGTGAGACAAAGCTCCCACAGAACACCCAACTCTTCTCCATTCAGCCATCCCCCAACAAAAAATATTTGCCCCCACTTTCTGGTAACCTGTATGCTTTTATGTAAAGGTTAAAATGTAGGAGGCTAACACAACATAGCATAAACAAAAGAGTTTTCAAGTCAAGCAGGCCTCAATTCCCAGACTTTCCTCTTACTGTCTATGTGTGACCTTGGACAAGTCATTGAACTTCTTCAAGCCCCACTAGACTGTAAGCTCCACAGAGCAAATGCCACTTCTGTCTGACTTTGTAATGTAGCCACACAGTACTGAAGTATCAGTTTCTTCTCCTATAAAGTAACGATGTTAACATTCTTCTCACGGAGGTAACTGGAGGATTAAATTAGATATTATGTATTTAAAGTTCTGGCACAGTGCCAAATCACAGTAAAGGCTCCAAAAAAGTTAACTGTTATTGACACCAACTAGCAGCTATCAAACGTGAAAGCGGTTTGAAGACTTTCGAATACTAACATACAAAGTCTACACCCAGTAAGTGCAAGTTGCTCAATTAATACAAATATTTCACAGAAAAGCTACGAATAGTTTCTAAACCACTCGGAAGGCAATCTAGTAACAGATGAACTCTGAATTGTGCCCAACAAGCCCAAGCTATTAAAAGGCATTCAGGAGACTCCAAGTTTTCCCACTTCCAAAAGTAGGCCATAAGCATCCTCCCCATTGGCTTCCCCACCTCCCCTTCGGATGTCAGCGGTGTCAGGGAACCCCCTCCTCCGCGCTTAGGGGGAGGAGAGAGAAAGCCTCCGAGGAGGGCGCCGGGGTTGGGGGAAAGAGCGCATCCCTGCGCCATTCGCCCAGACCCACCTTGAGCAGGATGGATGGCGGCAGCTGGTTGATGTCTGGGGTTTCGGGGGGCGGCTCCCTGTGACAGTCGCAGGGGTTTTCGCGGGGCTCCTGACAGTCCACGTCGCCGCATTCGTGCTGCTGCTGGGCAGGCGAGGGGGCGGTGCTCGCGGCTCGGACCGCGTCCCCGCCGGCCTCGGCGGGGGCACCTTCGGAAGCGGGAGAGGAGGGCGGG